GCCTCGCGTGGCTATACGCAGGGTGATTCTACTTTCTAGAAGGTCTATCCCCTTAGATAGGATAAATCTGGTTACCTGATGTACTTTGGAAGTATAAAAGTGCCTTGTATTCATCGATAGCGCAATCTTTCCTCGACACATTCGATCCTGTGACATGGACCTTCCTTCCGTTGTTGTAGATGCTAGCAGTGTGGTTGACGCGGTTGATTTTGGGGTTGATTTTCTTAAGGAAGTCTCTCCCGAAGATCATCAAGCCGTTTTATGTACGTGATGGAGACAGCACGTTTCCAGCGCAGTGGTCCGATTTGTAGGTGTAACACTGCTTCGCCGTAGACTGGTAACTTGCTGCCGTCCACCATCGTTGCAGAAAATGTTGAAGGCTTGCACTCTTCCCGAATTCGTTCGATTGCTACCTTGTCGCATACATTATGCAATGCTCCGCTGTCCACAAGTGATTGGATGCGTTGCCCTTTGCAGATGACCTCGAGCACGAGGGGCATGCATTGCTCGGCGTTCCCAAAGATAGTTTCATTAATAGGATCGTAGAGTACATCCTGGTACTCCGTACACACCTTTTCATTGCTATCTACTCCGGAGCTAGCAGCTAGCCGAGGCTGCTTGGAGAAAGGCTCTTCCCCAAGGCCCGGAGTTTCCTTAACAACTATGCGTGTCATTGATTCCAAAGTTGTTGAGCTGAATGCATCCGAAGGAGCAGCTTGGGGTTTTTTCAGCTTCTTGTAGTCCTCCAGCTTCCTCTTGAGCTTCTTCAGCCCCACCGACGTCTTCCCTGGGGAGCGGGTAGTCGCTGTGGGCTGGTGTCGGGAGTGGACGTTGATTCCGTGGAAAGGTCGGCTTCATTCCACACTCCTTAATTTTCCCTCATCATTTCCCCCTGCTCGTATTGAATCACCTTCGTCGCTGTTGACCTTTTTCCCCCCATCATTTCCATCCTGTTCAAAATACATGGAGGGGTTAATTAAAAGAACGCGGAGCTGGTGCTTAGTAGAATCGGCGTCGAATTAGTCGCCCGCGGCGGTTTTTCGAGGCAGTTTTTCCCGCTACTGCTGCATAGCTGAGCGCGGCCGAGTGAGAAAGGCTCTGATTACCAAGTCTCACAGGATCGAAATGGTCGAAAGAAAGTTGCACTATCGATCGATACAAGGCGCATTTATACTTCCAAGGTACATCAGGTAACCAGGCTAATCCCATCTGAAGGGAATAGACCCTTCTAGAAACAGAATCACCTTGCGTATGGCCAGGCGAGGCTATTGGCTATATAAGGGATTACGGAAGGATTACGCTAGATATAGCGCGCCAGTACATCCTGAGCCTAGTTGGTGATATACTTATAGTGATAGGTTTAACCAAAGGATAGTGGAAAATGAGGGATAGGATACCAAATGAGATAAGGAAAAGACCAAATGAATCAGGATAAAATGGAAAATGAAATAGAGAAGAAATATAGAAAGGAGAAAGAAGTGTAACGGGGTCATACTCTCAAACACAGCATTCCTTCGGTTTCGTATGCAGCCCGCCAACTAGCGCGCCAGCTAGTGAGCCAGCTCGCACGCCAACCAGCCTGCTGTTAGAATAATTTTCAGCAATTCTCGTCGACCAATTTCCAGAAGTGCCGCGCTGCACACCGACAATGGCTTACTCAACCACTTCACTCGCCAACTCGATCCCTCTCCTTCGTCTCGAGCCGGACGGCACATGCTCCAACTACAAGGCTTGGCGCTATGGTGTCGACAAGCACCTCCTCAGTCGCAAGGTGAAGGGGCTCGAGCTCACCGACGTCCTTCTCAACATCGGTGACGGCAAAGAGCCTCCTAAACCCGAGAGGTCCGCCGATCCAGCTAATGCCGCCGCCGAAGCAGTTTATGCTGCTGCACTGCTCAAGTACAAGAATTGGGAGAAGGCCGATGGTGCGGTCATTAGTGTCTTCATGGGCACCACTCCTCCCGAACTCGTCGAAACCTACCACAACTACCCGTCTGCCAACGCCATTTGGCTCTACCTCGAAGATCGGTTCCGGAACAAGACTGCAGTGGGAGTTGCCATACTCATTCCCGGCACGTTCCAAGTGCGGCTCGAGGACTCAGTAGGCATGGCGGACTATGTCACCTGGGTGCAGTCCATTCATGGTGAACTCAAACAGTTGGGGATAGTCTTCCCTGAGCAAGCCCCTGCAGCCGCTCTCCTAGTCGGCCTCACTCCGGCATACGAAGTCACACGCAAGATGCTCTTGGGCCTTGCTCATGCAGATCTCACATTTGCCAAGGTCTCATCCGCGCTCCTCCCGTGTCCCTACGTCATCAAGCGCGGCCCTCCTGCTGGCCAGGTGTGTGGTGGCACCAACCACGGCCTTGCCTCCTGCTTTAAGAAGAAGCATGACGAGTGGTATGCCGTCAATGGGACCCGCCTCCAAGCCGCCAAGCTGGATGGTCAATCGTGCTCCTCGCCAAGTCAATCAAGTCGAAGCGCAGGAATCTGTGCAGGCTGCTGTGGCTGCACCTGCTGATGTGCGCCTCAACATGTTGTTCCCTGGCACTACCATGACTAATGAGACGATATCGCAGTATCCTGGCTCACAAAGCATCACAGCCACAATAGAGTTCACCCTCGACAGTGGGGCCACTCACACGGTTCTCAAGGAAGAACACTCCTTCAAGCCATACGAGACACCAATCCGTCTACTTGGAGCAGACTCCAGTTTCACAACACACGCCAAGGGTCCTCCACAGTTCCGTGCCCAGCTTTTCCTTCGGGCAGTGTGACTGGCATGTGTGTTCCCACACTACGCCACAATCTCGTGGCCCAACACGAGCTCCAACGGGCAGGCGTCACCACGATCTTCCCAGCACACTCGGATCACTGTGACCTCTTCGACCCTAAGTCCAACAAGCTCCTAGCACGCTTCACACTCAACAGTAGCAAGCTCTACACGCTGCGTTCACCTGCACCTCTCGCCGCTCTCTCCCAAGTGCAAGCTGCCAGCACCACTCCGTGTTCGTGTCGCAGCTTTGCCAACCCAACCATCCTCTACCACCATCGCTTGGGTCACCCCAACTTCCGTACACTTGCCGACATCGCTTCCAAGAAACTTCTTCTTGGCCTCCCATCGGCGCTTCCTCCACCAACAGACTCACCTGCACCCACCTGCCTGGACTTCACCAAGAGCAAGCTCAGGCAGCAGCCGCATCCTTCCTCCCCATCCGTCGCAGCTGCTCCGCTGGACCTAGTGCACATGGATGTCTGGGGCCCAGCTCCAGTCGCATGCCGAGGCGGTCATCGGTACTTTCTTACACTAGTCGATAACCACTCGCGGTATGTTTCTGTGCACCTCCTGCATACCAAGGCGGAGGCACCTGATGTCATCATGGCGTGGGTGCGCCAGGCTCAAGTCACGTTCGGCACTCCTCTGAAGTGCCTCCATTCTGATGGCGGGGGAGAATTTCGCAATGGCAAACTCGATAACTTCTGTGCGGCCCAAGGGATTCGGCAAACCTTCACGCTCCCCGAAAGCCCGCAGCAGAATGGCATTGCAGAGAGCCGCAACCACATCTTGGTTCAGATCGCTCGCTGCCTCCTCAGTCACGCCAACGCACCACGGTCACTCTGGGGATATGCCCTCTTCCATGCGGCACTCCTCTACAATCTTTATCCGTATCCCCACCGGCCCGACACCACACCTACCGCTCTCTGGCTTGGGGTCACGCCTTCTGCCCGCTCTCTACGCGTCTGGGGGTGTACCGCGTATGTGTTGCTAAGCCCCCATACGCTCAGGAAGCAAGGTGGCAAGCTTGGTCCCAAAACCCAGACCTGCATGTACCTGGGGCACAACTCCGACTCCCCAGACTACTTATTCCTCAACCCAATCACCAGACAGCTGATTCGCAGCCGTGATGTCGTCTTCGATGAGACACGCCCATTCCACTCTGCGACCACGGGCGAGCCTCCTCCACCTCCCCCGATGCTTGTTTGGGCAGACTTCGATGCCCCACCTCCGACCGCTGCCCCTTCTCCGGGGCCTTCTCCGTCCGGCGTGTCTCACCCGGCCTCCCCAGTATCCTCCGCAGCGGCACCTCCTCCTGCTCCGCCTTCCCCGCGCGTCGAGCCCGGTTCACCAGTCTCCTATCGGAGGCGCCCAGTCCCTCCGGTCCCACCGCAGCCGCCTTCGTCTCCGGTCTCTAGTCGCACTCGTTCCAAGGGACCGGCTCCGCCTCTCGCCTGGGGACCAGCCGCCTTCTCCATCTGGTGTTCGGTCACCCCGCCTCCTCCTGCCGGGGGTGATGTCCCCTCCATCCGTATTCCCCCCCGTGCACTTCTGGAGGACAGGCATGAGGAGCTGTTTGACCTTCACGCGGTCTGCCAATTTCTCTCTCACATCTTCCCGGACATTACTGACTGCCCTTCCCTCAACTTCACCGAGAACCCGACCATTCCGACTCCTCGCACAAAAGAGGAAGCTCTCTCGGGGCCTTATAAGAAGGAGTGGAAGGCAACAATGGATGTGGAGAACGAGGCGTTCATTCGCAACAACAGCTTTGACGATGTTGTTCTCCCTTCCGGTGTCAACATCGTCGGCGGAAAATGGATCTTCCGAGTCAAACAACTCCCAGGCGAAGCTCCACTGTTCAAGGCACGATACGTGGCGAACGCTCTCCCAGGAGTCCTGTTGGTTAGAGAAGGCTATAAGCAGATGATTCAATAGCTCCTTGGAAATTTCTGCAGCACTTCGTTATGACGCCTAGAAAACTCGCGACCTTCAAAAAGCTATATCCAAAAATCCAATCGGTGAAACGATCTGAAAATCAGATATGTTGTAGCTTGCGGCGTCATCTTTCCTCTGAAAGTTGAAACACTCGATTCCGTAGCTTAACGAGCGAGCTATGGCGTTTGGCGCACTGGGGGGTAATCTGCCCTAGGAGAAGTTGACAATCCTCAGAGTCACTATAATTGAAGCTTACAAGTTCAGAGGCATGATAGAAAATGCATTGAAGCACAGTTGGAAGGTAGGGATGGAAGGGAAGGATGAAAGGGAAGGACCCTGGAGGCCCATGGTCAAGAACATGACAAGAGTCAAAGTCTTGACTCCCCATCCTCAGGTTCAGCCAGCCTGGCAAGACAAAATTCACACTGTACCAGGTTGGCCTCCAAACCCCAAATGCTGCAGCTGCAGGGTGGGGACAAAAGTCCCACACATGCTGGTCCCTCCTCGTTATAGGGCTCTCCAACTTTGGTGTAGCAGCTGCCAAGGACTTCCAATGAGTTGTAACAAATCCATCAAACATTTCTTCGTAACTTCTTCATTGTGCTCCGATTCCAACAATTCTTGGCTCGTTGGAATGTGCTCGATGTCATGCACAATCCAAGCACATCTGCACAAGCACAAGATGAACATGCAAAGACATGCAAACCCAACAAACCATACAAACAATGTAGCACACAAAACACATGCAACGAAATGATGCGAACAGACGACAGGATGACGTGCAAACGAATATGCACCAACACACTCCCCCTCAGACTGTCGGCTTGTTTCGTCGTCTCTAGTTCAAGGACATTCCCGCCATCCTCGCACAGCGCCAGTGTGGCTCTTCAGCTAGCCGCTTGGTAAGGAAGTCGGCTGGCTGTTGCTGAGTTTTAACGTAGATCGGATCCAGTGTCCCAAGCTTCACCTCCTTCCGCAGCCAATGCCACTTGATCCTCATGTGCTTGTTCAACCCATGAAGAACTGCATTGCGTGCCATGGCAATGGCTGCCTTGCTGTCACTGAACAGAGGTGTCGCACAAGGCTGTTCATGGCCGATCTCCTTCAAGAGCCTCCTTAGCCAAATGATTTCTTTTGCCGCATGAAACATTGCCATGTACTCAGATTCCACTGAAGATAGTGCCGTTTCAGACTGCTTCTTGGACCTCCAACTTACAGGCCCACCTCCCACCATGCAGATGTATCCACCAACTGATGATGAATTCTCATGCTCAGAAGCTTACGTGGCATCAGCAAAACAGGAAAGGAACACCTTTCCTTCTCCGAGCTGCTCCCCCTTCTCTTGAAGAACTTTAATTCCTTTTTGCCTGAGTTGAGCAAAGGCTGAATACTGTACTCCCACTGTAGGGTATGACTTGAGGTAGCGCACCACTCTCTCCGCTGCACCACACTGCTCTTCTGTTGGATTTTGCACTACTCGAGCCAGCTGTCCCACAGCAAAGCTGATGTCAGGCCGAGTATGCACAGCAGCGTAGAGTAGGCTCCCGACCATGGATTGGAATTGCCTCTGGTCTTCACTCTCAACTCCTTCTCCTTCAGCTGCCTTTATGAGTTTGAACTCGGAAGGCAAAGGTGTGACCACTTCCCGTTCTTCCTGCAGAGAGTACTTCTCAGCCAAGGTATTGCTGTACTGTCCCTGATGCAGCTTGAGCCAGCCACGTTCAGTATCCCGCTCAATGTGCATTCCCAGGTAGTACCTTGCCTTTCCAAGTGACTTGCACTTGAACTGCTCTGTGAGCTTCCGCTGCACCCCATCGATCTCCTTGTCACTGCTGCTGAAGAGCAGGATGTCATCCACGTACACCAGCAGAAGCACAAGCGACTCCCCCTCGCCCATCAGGAATAGGCTCTCGTCGCATGCACTCGCACGGAATCCAATCCCTTCCAGTGCACTGGCCAGCCTGTTGTACCAGCATCTCGGGGCCTGTTTCAAGCCATAGATGGCCTTGTTAAGTTTGCAGACACGACCGGTTCCATCCTCATAGCCAGGTGGTTGAACCATGTACACCTCCTCTTCCACAATGCCGTACAGAAAAGCGGTTACGATGTCCATCTGCTTCACCTTCCATTTGCGCACAGCAGCTACCGCCAGCAGCACACGCAGCGTTGGAGACTTAGCAGTTGGGGCAAACACTTCTTTGTAATCTTCTTTCTCTTTCTGCTGAAACCCCTTTGCCACCAGCCTGCTCTTGTAAACTGATGGCTCTCCTTTCTCATCCGTCTTGATTTTTGCCAGCCATTTGCACTGTATTGCCTTCTTCCCATTTGGCAAGTACACCAGGTCCCATGTGTGATTCTCCATCTGGCTGTTGTACTCTGCATCTCTTGAAACGAGCCACTTCCCCCGTTGAGGCTCGGCTAGCGCATGATCCATGCTCGGAGGTTGTATTGGTGCGTAAAAGCAGTATGCAGGCTCCTCGTCATCTGACTCTTGGTCATCACCCAAGAACAGCACTGCATCTTCGCCTTGAGCCTGTTCCTGCTGCTCAGTTGTGGCTCCTCCACTTGTAGAGCTCAGCAGCTTTCTCGTTGCCATTCTGGTACGTGCAGGGTAGATGGTTGGATTTACCCATTCTTTCACCTTCACCCAATCCTTTGTCCCCCCACCAATCTGTTTCCTTCGCTTTGGCAGACTTGGTGTTTTGGAAGCCTCTTGCTGCTGCTGCTCCGGATCCTTGACTTCAGCATCAGCTGCAATATCCTCATTGCTTCCTTCATCAGTACCGCTTGCCGTTGGCGCAGTGACTTCGCTGTCCTCAGGTTCGGACAAATCGAAGTGCATAGTGATCTCTTCCAGCTGCTGGGTGACCCTTGCCTCCGGCTGCTTCTCCCACTTGCCATACATGATGTTCTCCACAAATTTGACATCCCGACTGTCAAACAGCACATTCTTCGAGGGCTCCCGGAGTAGCCACCCCTTGCTCTCTGCCGCAAGTCCAAGGTGCACACACCACAGTGCAGATGCTCCAAGCTTTGTCCTGTACGGTTTAGGGACATGCGCCACTGCCATGCATCCGAACACTCTGAGCATGTCCACTGGAGGCTTCTTTCCAAGCCACCTCTCCAGCGGCACCCACATATCATCAGCCACCTTTGTGAGTACGCGGTTCCTTGCCACTGTAGCATGCCTCACCGCATGAGGCCACATGGAGTTCCCCAGCCCTGATTCGATCAGCAGCGCTCGCGCAGTTTCCAGGATGGTCCTATTAGCCCTCTCAGCAATGCCATTTGACTGAGGGGTATAGGACGTCGTTAGCTGATGCTCAATGCCTTGTTTCTTGAGCCACGCAGTCAGATCTCCTCCTAGAAACTCTCCACCTCGGTCGGTTCTGATGCTCTTGCATGGGTGCCCAGATTGTCGCTCGACGAACGGCAGCCAGTCATCTCGTATTGTTGAGGCAGCATGATCCTTCTGCTTCAACGGGTATGCCCACATCAGCCGACTCCAGTCATCAACTATTGTCAGGAAGTACCTTTCCCCCTTACTTCCTCGAAATGGAAAAGGTCCTACCAGGTCCATATGCACCAGTTCCAGTGCTGCCTTGCTTTTCCCAGCTATGTCGTAAAAGGGGAACCGTGTGAACTTGCTCAGCAGACACGTCACGCACTTGGTATCATTTGGTTGCCCAGAAAGCTTCAGCCCCTTTACTGCTTCTTCCTTATGCAGTTGCTGCAGCAATGGCATAGCCACATGCCCTAGACGCCTGTGTGCGGTTTCCCAATCAGTCTCCCCCGACCTTGCAGAAACCGTCACTCCTGCAGCACTAACTGCATTGCACTCCCCCTGGACTCCAGATCCAGCCTTTACTTCTCCCAATTCCTTCTTTGTTGATTCCCATATCAGTGCAGGGATCTGCCACATGGATCTGAAGACATCTCTGCTTTCGTGTAAATCCCATAACACACGATCTCCTCGCAGCCCCTTGAATGTTTTGGATCCATTGGTGGTGGTGCTGACTCCGGCCTGGCCTAGCTTGCGCAGCGATATCAGATTGGCCTTCAGCCCCGGTACGAGTAACACGTCCTTAAGCACGACCAGTCCACCATCAGGTGCTCTGAATGCAGCTCGACCAACTCCAGCGACCTTCACTGCATGTCCGGATGCTGAGCGCACTTCGGAGATTGGAGGCGCTCGCACAGCATCCAGCAAGTCCTTGCGTGGTGTCATTGTCCATGCAGCACCAGAGTCCATGACCCACATATCAAGCGGGTGCAACTCTTCTCCAGCCCTTGCAACAGCTGTGCCACTGTCATCTTTGTCACACACATGGTAGAACTGTCCAGCATTCCTCTCCTCACTTCCCATTCCTCTGTCATCCTTGGAGGTTTCTTCAGCAGGATCAGCTACCATGTTGGCACCTCCATGTGGTTGCTTTCCTCCATTCCCCTTTTGCGATTGGTTCCAAGGGGTCCACCAGTCAGGCTTGGTAGAGCAGCGAAACCATGGATGCCCTTCTTCCTTGCAATACCAGCACTCTCCCCTCAAGCGTGGTTCACTGTTGTCATTGTTGGAGTGACCACCTCTTCCTCTTGCACCAGCGCCACCACGCCCCCGCTGGTTCCAAGTCCCGCGACCACCTTGGTTGTAGTAGGAGCGACCGCGATTGCCACGCCCTTGATCCCTCCATGTCCCTTGCATGGCATAGCCGCTGGTGCTGTCATCACCTCCGCGCAGTGTATAGCGACGAAAATCTTCTTCCAGAATCTTGGTGCGAATCCAGTCCAATGTCCATTGACTTTGGTTTTGTGGCAAGCTGAGTCCGCTTATAAATTGCAGCCAAGACTCGGGCACCAGGCTGAGCATCTTGAGACACTTAGTCTGCTCAGGATACGTGATGCCTGCAATCGCCAATTTCGCGTAGAGTTCCCTCATCTTGTCCAGTACGGGCTGCACAGGTTCATTCTCGCTCAACCGCAGCATGGACAGCTCCCCATCCAGCATGAGAGAAGCCGCAACCGATGTCGGAGCGTGCAGGTCCTTGAGCACTGCCCATGCCTTGGGCCCACAATCAATTTCCGGTAGCAGATGCATGATGTGATGCCTCTGGTTCAGCTCCAAGCTGTGTGACAGTAGATAATACCCAGCAGATGAACGTTCATCCCAGTCCGCTTGCTCTGCCATTTCCTTTGGCCTTGGCTCCGTTCCAATCATGAGCTTCAAGAGGCCAATTTGTCGAAAGTAGAGCTGCATCTTCCATGCCCAATCGTCATAGCCATCTCCAGAGAACTTCTCAATGGTGAAGCTCTTCAGCACCTCCTTAAGCAGTGACCCTAGGCTTGTATGCGCTCCCCTTTGTGCTGCAATGCCAGAATCTTGGGTTGAGCTGCCTCCTTGGACTGAAGTATCATCTCCACCAGAGTCCTCCTTATCTCCCATCGTATTTTAGGTCCCAAATGCGTGATAATGGGCTCTGATACCACTTGTTGGTTAGAGAAGGCTATAAGCAGATGATTCAATGGCTCCTTGGAAATTTCTGCAGCACTTCGTTATGACGCCCAGAAAACTCGCGACCTTCGAAAAGCTATATCCAAAACTCCAATCTTTTAAACGATCTGAAAATCAGATATGTTGTAGCTTGCGGCGTCAGCTTTCCTCTGAAAGTTGAATCACTCAATTCCGTAGCTTAACGAGCGAGCTATGGCGTTTGACGCACTGGGGGGTAATCTGCCCTAGGAGAAGTTGACAATCCTCAGAGTCACTATAATTGAAGCTTACAAGTTCAGAGGCATGATAGAAAATGCATTGAAGCACAGTTGGAAGATAGGGATGGAAGGGAAGGATGAAAGGGAAGGACCCTGGAGGCCCATGGTCAAGAACATGACAAGAGTCAAAGTCTTGACTCCCCATCCTCAGGTTCAGCCAGCCTGGCAAGACAAAATTCACACTGTACCAGGTTGGCCTCCAAACCCCAAATGCTGCACCTGCAGGGTGGGGACAAGAGTCCCACACATGCTGGTCCCTCCTCGTTATAGGGCTCTCCAACTTTGGTGTAGCAGCTGACAAGGACTTCCAATGAGTTGTAACAAATCCATCAAATATTTCTTCGTAACTTCTTCATTGTGCTCCGATTCCAACAATTCTTGGCTCGTTGGAATGTGCTCGATATCATGCACAATCCAAGCACATCTGCACAAGCACAAGATGAACATGCAAAGACATGCAAACCCAACAAACCATACAAACAATGTAGCACACAAAACACATGCAACGAAATGATACAACAGACGACAGGATGACGTGCAAACGAATATGCACCAACAAGTCCTACATCGACAACCTTCTCAAGCGGTTCGACATGGACTCCAGTAACTCTGTCTCCACTCCACTCCCACTACAGCATCAGCTCACGGCCCCTCCAGTTCCTTCTCCTGACGCCTGCAAGGACCCGTACCCTGATCTAGTTGGTTGACTCATGTATGCCATGATGTGCACTCGACCAGACTTGGCTTACCCGGTTAGTGTCCTCTCTCGGTACGTCTCCCCCGGACGCTACACTGCCTCGCATTGGTCTGCAGCCAAGAGGGTCCTCCGCTATCTACAAGCCACCAAGTCTCACATCCTCACTCTTGGTGGTACCTCTCCAGTCAAGCTCGAGGGATACACAGACTCCTCATGGGCCGATGACCAGACTGACAGACGCTCCTCCCAAGGGTACTGCTTCACCCTTGGTAGCGGAGTCATCAGCTGGCGCTCCACTCGGTCCTCTGCAGTCTCCCTGTCGCCCTGCGAGGCCGAGCTCTACGCGGGCACAATGGCTGCTCAAGAGGCACGCTGGCTCTCCTTTCTCCTCGCTGAGTTAGGCTACCCCCAGCAGTCGCCCACCCTGTGGTGTGACAACCAGAGTGCCATTCATCTCACCAAGGATCCTGTGTTCCACTCTCGCACCAAGCACATCGAACTTCGTCATTTCTTCATCCGAGATCTTGTTCAGAGTGACCAGCTGACGGTACGGTACATCGCCTCAGATTGCAACCTCACCGACCCCTTTACCAAGGCTCTCGGCAAGGCTGACCACCATCGCCTTCTCCGTTCCATGCGGCTATGTGCTCCTTGACCAGGTTAGCACTCTATGGGGGTGTGTTAGAAATAGACTGCAAATACAACTTTTGTATTTGTACTTTTATATCCTAGTTTAGGTTGTGAATGTTCTAGTGGGTTGGGGTGTCCTCACAAATCCCAACCTCACCCAATTGTGATCCCCACAATCTCCAATTACCCAATTGGAGATTCCGGAGATCCCAATGGGGATTCCCTCCAATTCCCCCTTCATCCATTCTCTCTCACCTTGCCATGTACTTATAGAGCCTTGGGCTCCTTACCTAATTAATCATTTCAACTCTATTTCTTATTGAAGACACTAATCACCGCACCATCGGCCTTCTCCCAATTCTTGTACTTGAGCAGTGCAGCAGCATAAACTGCTTCGGCGGCGGCATTAGCTGGATCGGCGGACCTCTCGGGTTTAGGAGGCTCTTTGCCGTCACCGATGTTGAGAAGGACGTCGGTGAGCTCGAGCCCCTTCACCTCGCAACTGAGGAGGTGCTTGTCGACACCATAGCGCCAAGCCTTGTAATTGGAGCATGTGCCGTCCGGCTCGAAACGAAGGAGCGGGATCGGGTTGGCGAGTGAAGTGGTTGAGTAAGCCATTGTCGGTGTGCAGCGTGGCACTTCTGGAAATTGGTCGACGAGAATTGCTGAAAATCACTCTGACGGCTTTATCAAAATGCCGCTAAGTAGGAGATGGCATCGGCGAAAATTCGTTAAAACGCCGACTTGAAACTGAATCTGAGCCTATGTCTAGCCCCGGACCCACACACCCCCCCACACACCCCCAGGCCCTGTCCCGCAGCTACACAGCTCCGCAACCAGCTCCGCAACCAGCTCCGCAACCAGCTTCGCAACCAGCTCCGCTCCGCTTCAACCTGTATACCTGCTCTTGCTGGATGCGAGACGTTCGTGGAGGCGATTTCGCAAGGGGCGTTTGCCTATTCTGGCGGGGTCTGAGGGGGAACTCGAGAACGAGTTTTAAGAGATGGTCAAAATAGAGATTCGACCAAGGAGAACCGAGGAGGAAATAGACGATGAGAAGCGTGAACGCTTCAGAGATGAGAAATTCGACGAGGTCGTGCGCGAAGGCGGTCGACGATAAGAGGCGCGACTGCAGAGTGGAGCACGTCGACATTCCGACGACTCGAAACGAATGTGACGACGATGAAGTGCGCGTAGCGCGGGCACGTTAAGATTAGGACCTTGATCCGCGTGTGCGGATAGGTAGCTCTGATACTATGTAAGAAATAGAGTTGAAAAGATTAATTAGGAAAGGAGCCCAAGGCTCTATAAGTACATGGCAAGGTGAGAGTGAATGGATGAAGGGGGAATTGGAGGGAATCCCTATTGGGATCTCCTGAATCTCCAATTGGGTATTTGGAGATTGGGGGGATCACAATTGGGTGAGGTTGGGATTTGTGAGTACACCCCAGCCCCACAAGAACATTCATAACCTAAACTAGGATATAAAAGTACAAATACAAAAGTGGTATTTGCAGTCTATTTCTAACAAACGCTTCAGAGATAAGAAATTCGACGAGGTCGTGCGCGAAGGCGGTCGACGATGAGAGGCGCGACTGCAGAGTGGAGCACGTCGAAATTCTGACGACTCGAAACGAATGTCGCGACAATGAAGTGCGCGTAGCGCGGGCACGTTAAGATTAGGACCTTGATCCGCGTGTGCGGATAGGTCGCTCTGATACCATGTAAGAAATAGAGTTGAAATGATTGATTATGTAAGGAGCCCAAGGCTGTATAAGTACATGGCAAGGTGAGAGTGAATGGATGAAGGGGGAATTGGAGGGAATCCCCATTGGGATCTCCTGAATCTCCAATTGGGTAATTGGAGATTGGGGGGATCACAATTCGGTGAGGTTGGGATTTGTGAGTACACCCCAACCCACCAGAACATTCATAACCTAAACTAGGATATAAAAGTACAAATACAAAAGTGGTATTTGCAGTCTATTTCTAACAGTCTGTTCTGTGCATACTTGAATCACTTGCATCCTGTCCATGCCTGAAGATCACCAAGTGGTGGTGGTATGGCAGTCTGCTTCTGTAGCAATGTTGTATCCGTTACATGCAGCTTCTGTCGAATGCTGGTCCATGCCGTAGTGTTGTCTCGACTGGTACCCACTCGGCATCGTAGTGCTGTGGGATGAAGAGCAAAATCACCAGTAGTAACTCTGTCCACCACGTGGTCTGGTAGTCCAATGCCTTGAGTACAATAGCGCATGCGAAGTGCTGCTCAGCATATCCCTTGTATGCAGAACCATGCGAGGGGTTGGTACCATAAACGATGAGCTGGGAACTTCCAGAATGGGCGCCAAAGTAGTTTCCCTCGGTGGTTGCTCAAGCAATAAATCTCTTCTGCGTAGATATCCCACGGTGATGGGTTAGGACATCTGGGAATATTAGGGCTATTCCCAAATAATCCTCTCCCATTTCCAAATGGGCATTGCTGACAGCCAATCCAGTATGACCTTATGCACTTCCAGTTTAGCACGGAGGCCATCGGTAGGCATCGGTGTCTGGGCGCACATATTGAGATAGGTCTTCTGGTGCCATCATGTGTTGTCTCATTCTGTCACTGTCCTTGAAGTAGCGTTGATGTTGAAGACGTCTCAGCTACTCAGCATCAGTGTTGAAGTTTGCTCCATTTCGGCAAATAGGCGTGTTGTTGGAGATACGCGGAGTCCTCTATCCAAAGTGGCGTCGGCGCTCCATTTCACGCCAATCTGCTTCGGTGGAGTTGTGACACAGGTTTTATGACTATATGGAAAGCCATAGGTGTAAGAAATAGAGTTGAAATGATTCATTAGGTAAGGAGCCCAAGGCTCTATAAGTACATGGCAAGGTGAGAGTGAATGGATGAAGGGGGAATTGGAGGGAATCCCCATTGGGATCTCCTGAATCTCCAATTGGGTAATTGGAGATTGGGGGGATCACAATTGGGTGAGGTTGGGATTTGTAAGTACACCCCAGCCCCATTAGAACATTCATAACCTAAACTAGGATAAAAAATTACAAATACAAAAGTGGTATTTGCAGTCTATTTCTAACACACCCCCATAGACTGCAAACCCGATCAATGAGCACATAGGCCCATGGAACGGAGAAGGCGATGGTGGTCAGCCTTGCCAAGAGCCTTGGTAAAGAGGTCGGCGAGGTTGCAATCTGAGGCGATGTACCGTACCGTCAGCTGGTCACTCTGAACAAGATCTCGGATGAAGAAATGGCGAAGTTCGATGTGCTTGGTGCGAGAGTGGAACACAGGATCCTTGGTGAGGTGAATGGCACTCTGGTTGTCACACCACAGGGTGGGCGACTGCTGGGGGTAGCCTAACTCAGCGA